AGCCAAACGAGTAAGGTACAATTAAAAATAAATTGCGGTACAATTAAGTACATTTTTGGTACAATTATTTAAACCTAGTCCCCAGTTTCGACTTTCACATGTGCGGACATTCGAATATACATCCGAATTTTTCGAAAAGATTGATCGATTTTGACGGTTAGAGGTTCGTTGGAAAGGTATTGAGCTCTAGAATTCGAATATCGATGTTTCAGGGGTCGACGACCTCATTTAGTGCCATCTATGGCCGTAGAACTGAATTTTGACCCATTTCTTGAAAGGACCGATTTTCGAACTTTTATATTTTTTCTTCAAGTCGACTTTTCAACACACTAAGGTGGTTTCGTCACTCGCGCGAACTGCCGTCCGCTGTGATCTATTGTTTTTTTTGTATCACCGTCCAAAATTAAACTGTTGTTTTTTTTTGTATTAAATTCACAGTGATGATGCGAACAATGACATTCCGTATTTTTTCCCACCGCCATCTTTCACCCGCGTTGATACTCCGCAGGACAGTTTCTTCAAAAAGGATCGTTCAAAGGGGTTGAATAAAGACCAATCGTCGCCCTATGATTCGGCCCAATCGACAATTGTTGGAATGTCACGTAATCGCCGTTTCAAACATGCCTGTTATATACCATTTAGTTTGACAAATCCAATACCGGAAAAAGCTCAATTCCAAGCATTGAAAATGCTGAAATTTAAATTCATCACCAATGAACAATTTAATATGATAAAAGAGTATTTGGATCGTCAACCGATTTGGTTGCGCAGCTCATTGGCGTATGAAACAAAAATTCCACGACAAAAACTGAAAATCATTCTGCCATCATTGGCGTATTATTTTACAACCGGTCCATGGCGATTGATGTGGGTCCGCTTTGGATACGATCCACGCAAAGATTTTACCAGCCGATACTATCAAACATTGGACTATCGAATCCGATCGAATACACTCAAAGAAAAGGTACATCCACAAAATATTAAATAATATTGGCATTTTTTAACTGATTTTGTCACTTGTCAGATTGCGCGCAGCCGAAAAACCAAAACCGATCCAGACAACACATATCCGTACTTTGAAGTAGATCGTCTGCCTGAAACCCGACAATCATTTTATCGAGTGAGATGGAATTTTTTTTGTCATTTTACATTTTGACCAATATGCAAATTTTAATATTTAAAAAATTCGATTTCAGTACTGTGATGTACATGTGCCAAAGATACAAGAAATGTTGGACAAAATACCGACACCACTATCAGGTGCGATATGCAATGAAAAAACTGGCTGGTTACCACCGAATTTTGACGATAATTGCCGTGAAATTCTCACCGAAACCATCAACGAACTATTGGAAATGCAACCGGCCGATTTTGATCCAAATCAATTGGCGTCAACGTCTCGGGAGGCCCAAGCACAAAATGCCGAACAACCAGATAATGAATGGGAATATGGGGTAAATTTTTTTATCTTTATAAAAGCTTCAACAATTTCATTAGATGTCTCTAGAAAATAAAACTAACTTTCGAAATCTCTGTCGTTTGCCAGGAGGACGAAGAAGGTTACGATGAAGAGGAACGGGATCCATCATATGTGGAACATGACTATGAAGATGACGAATGATCAACGAATGTATCAATTACGATGACTTGAAACAGAAATAAAGTTAAAAACCCGCCTTGTAACAGTACAACAATGCCCATTTTTATTCATTTCTATTTGATTTTGGTTCAACGCATCATTGTAAATTTACAATCGCTGAATAGAGTTGAGGCGATTGTGCGCTACACAAAAACACAAACATAATACAAAATATAAATAAAACTCTTAATGAACAACAATCTAAATGTATATATAAGATATTTTATATCTAATATAAACGGTAAGTTTCTCTTAAAATTGCCTAAGCGGTAGATATTTACAAGCCCCCGCCACCGTCCCCTGCCGAATTCTATGTTATTTATTAAGCACAAAATGTCAATTATAATTAAAATTTTGGGTTCGGTCAAGTAAAAAAAAATATACACATTTAAAATGTCGAATGTGATAAAAAGTGAGAGAACTAGAGACGGGTGCTTCATTGGTGTGAGTCATCTTTAAGCCATCGTTTTGATTTTGCCATATCCGATTTAACAATCACAAATAATTCCATGTCATTGCTTTTGAATTGATTGGTCAAGTAGGTTATTACATCGGCATCGTCACCAATGCATTCGGGCGCATTCAATTTTGAATCCAAATTCCAATAAAATTTATCGATTTTACGTATGGCAATCCAATGGCGTCGTCGAAATGGCAACACAATAAAACCAAATTTATATTCAGACGGCACGTTCATTATAAAACCAAGTATATTCGATGTATCGATACATAATGGTTCTCTGCAATTAAGGCGTGAATGAAACAAACAAATAAATATTAAATTTAATCAACAAATCAATATGGAAATACAGAATTGAAAAAATTACTGAAATATAAATCGGTCCATGTACATTGTACAAGAAAATAGTGGAAATCCTTTTATGTCTTTTGTTTTTTCCTCATGGGAGTCTTTATATCTTTCGTTATAAAAAATTAAAATCCCACGAGATTCCACTATTGCGACCCGGTTTTCGTATACATTCTATTAAATAAAGAGCTCTTCCGTTGATAATGTAAGAATAATACGTACTTGCGTTTATCAAACCAAATCGCTTCATAGTTCCTCAGTTGTAATGCGGTCATTATAACATTGACATCATATTGACCCAAGCCGAGCATCGATTTATGTGGATTGATCCATTCATCGGGCGATAATTGTACGCAAATGTCATCCAATTCAGTTTTTGTGAATGATCCTTTGGCTAATTGTGAAAAATTGAATGAATAAATCATCGAATTGTGTAAATATGAGTAAATTTAAACATATCTTGAGGTCTGCAATGGGCTTAGCATACATGAAACACATTTTATCTCATCTGTTGTTCCAATTTTCAGACAGCTCAATAGAATTCATATTTAAAAAAAAAATTCAAATTCACCTTGAAACAGGTTGTTTAGTGCATGGAGTGCGCACAGTTCGCGTATTTGTCGTTCATGGTAAATCGCACCATGGGCTCCCATATTTGATTGTGGTGCTGGAAATGTTTCACAGCAACGTCGTCCAATTGCTACACCTTTTGGTCTTTTTTTTATCCAATTGCATTCAATACCAAAAATTATTGTTCAGCAAACCCCTCAAACCAATTTACTGCAAGATTTTCTTCGATTGTGAGCGATTCGAATTTGGTGTTTATAAATCCACTTGATTTGAGATCGATATTGATGAGCCATTCAATAATTGCACTTGCAAAGAGATCCGAGCGTTCTGGTTTTGATTATAATTCGCATCAAAAATTGAGATCTAATTTTGATTATGCGTTTTCAAGTCAAACCAACAAAAAAAAACGTAATCGTTTTCAATTTCCTTCGGGACAATCCGTTTGTTGACAATTTTTGACACTCAATTTCTCTAATATTGTTGATGTTTATTTACTAAAACGCAAAAACTGTCTGCATCCCTATTGTTCGAATCCACATAAATAAAGTGTTTTGAAAACTCAAAAACAAATTATAAATTCAAAAAAATAAACACTATAATAGAATCACTTTGTGTTTGTTGATTTTTTTTTGCTTCCTTCTTCTTCTTCTTTGTGACACACAACTACACCTTCGGACAATTTGCATGTGTGTCGATAATTTTAATGTTGTTTTGTTTTGTGTATTCAAACTGTGTCGCTATATATCCCCATCGGCAGTCAATCTGTCTACATGAGACATGGCACTTGGTGACGACGTGCATTTGATAAAAGTGGTTTTTTTTTCTCGTTCGATTGTTATTGTACGGCGCGCGCGATATCTGTCAAACATGAGCAAATATACATTCGCCTTCGACTTTGGCCAACAGATGGCGGTACTATGATGGAAAAACAATGTCAAATAAAAAAAAATTGCATTCTTATTTCGACCGCTTTATGTTTATTTTAGTTTAAGATAATAAGTGGTTCTTTTTATTATAAATAAAAGGACAGAAATCAAAAAGGCAGAAATTCCCAAATCGATAACTTTAAAAAAAAAGTCAAACGTATTCGTCGGTTGGTCTGCTGTCAGTGTGTATTGTGACAGATTCGAACGAAAGCGAAAGAGTGCAAGGGAAAGAGAGAAAGAATGTGAATCCATTGAATGCCAGATTTTGTGTTTGCATGTTGAAACAATCGACGACACGTCAAATCGCGACGAGATTTGTTATTAAGCAAAAGATACATTCAATATTATTGAGTGTGCACACACGGATTGCATTTGTGCCATCATAAATTCGACGACAAAATTGTAAGCTGTTATTTTGTGATACCCTTTCACGTCTATTTTTCTTGTTCGTTGTTGCATTGTGCTGCATTTAATGTATAGCAAATAATTGCAATTGAATTCTAAACGTTTTTTTTCTCTTCTCTCTCATTTGATCGCATCGAAAATCGAATTAAAGTGTTGAGAATTTAGTTGATATTGTGTGCAAATTTCAGATTGTTGTTATTACGAATTGAATGACTTTGAAAATTGCCACCAACCAAAGTGACGTGAAAAGCAAAAGGTGAAAATCATCAAAAAATAACAGCGGCTACCACATTACCAAAGGTAAAAAAAAGTGTGCGTTGCCAGTCATTCGTTATTATTTTTGTTTACGTTTCATCGCGCTTTGTGCATTACATATTATTTTTTTGTATAATTTTCGATTGGCTACAATTGCGAATTCTTTGTGTCGTCGCTGTGTTTTTTTGCACAAAATTCAAACATCGAAATGGCATATGTCGGGGAAATACACTGTCAAATGAAGGAGAGTTTTCAATATTTCACTGTACACAGAAGACATTCTATTTTTGATTTTTTTTTGTCGCCTGTCGACAACATTTGTTGTTGTTATTTGCGACAACAAATACAATTGAGATTCAAATTTTCGGTGTATATGTGCTTGACAATTGTCGTTTGTAGCATGTCACAACAACCGAAATTACGACCAACGCAATGCCGATATTTTCATCAAACAGTATCTATTGTTCATTTCAAAAGAGATTCGCTCCGAATTCAACAGATATATTTGTCATTGGCAACCGATCACCACATTTTCTCGTTTCAAATATGAAGAAAAATCCATTTGTGTTTGCATTAACTATATTTGCATTGTGTTCAATAGAAAAATCAAAGTGAACTTTGTTTTATTTCTCAAAATAATTTCAATTCATATATACACCGAAAACCGAATGACAACAACAAAATGTGACAAACCGACCGAAAACCGATCCGTCCATAACGAAATCAAAATGTGTTGCCTGAATTTATGCAAACGACGACCATCATAAAATTGAACCATTTTTGACAGTTAATTTAACTACTTGCTCGAATGCACGATATAAATACGGTATTACAAGCGTTCTCGAACTTTCATTACGACTTGATGCATTGTTATTTCATCATATTCACGTGTGCACTGATATATATCAATTCGTTTTAGAATTGTGTTCATCATTGAGATTGGATCAGATGAATCATTCAGACCGAATGGGTCGACTAAAAACCAATTGCAACATCACAAAACAGCATATTTTTAATAGTGAATCTGTTTTATTTACAACGATAGAAACATGGAAGTTAACGAAACAATAGAAGATAACAGACAACAGCCGGATTTTTCGAGTATACGAGGAAAAAAAACATTGATCAGCCCATCACATGAGCAATTTGATTTATTGAAGAAATTTTTGGAAAAACGAATTGTGGACAGTTCGGGCGAAACCATTTTTGAAATTGGTGCCGGTGACAATGAAGAAAATGGACTACAATCCGATGAATATGCGGCTTCGGTTTGTATTATTTTATTTTATGAACATTTTTTTTGTCGTTGTGATGAGAAATTATTGGTAGAATTGTACCGATTTTTCAGGTGGCAACTCTTCAATCATTGGCAGCAACATTGAATGCAGACTGTGTTGAATTGCGACAACGGCCATCCGATAAAGGAATGACAGGACAGTTTTTAATACGAAGGAGGGTCGATCAGGATGATTTTATGGAAATACGGTGAGTGGTCCGGTGTAAGAGAAATCGATGGAAATTATGATGAAAGAAATTTCGGAATATCATTACAACGTCAAATTCTATTCTAAACCAGTTTAAAAAGGCCGGTTAGATAAAATCCCATAAAGTTGAAAAATATTTTGTATAAAAGTCGATGGTTTTCAGTCAATCATTTTTCATTCACACTTGATTTGTTTGTAAATCTCAAATCAATGCTTTAATTTTCATTCATTTACAGAGTTGCTGTTGTTGGTAACGTGGACGCTGGAAAAAGTACGTTGCTTGGCGTTCTTACTCATGGCGAATTGGATAATGGCAGAGGACATGCACGGCAACGATTATTTCGACACAAACATGAAATGGAAAGTGGCCGGACCAGTTCAGTGGGAAATGATATATTGGGATTTGATAGCGTGGGCAAAGTTGTTAATAAACCCGATCATGGTACCTTAGACTGGGTGAAAATTTGCGAGAAATCAGCCAAAGTAATAATATTCCTTCGGTTCTTCCATTCTGTTCCATTACTCATTGATTAATTTCCATTTTTTTCATTCTTTTCTTCTGATCAACCCTATAGATAATAACATTCATCGATTTAGCTGGTCATGAACGATATTTGAAAACCACTGTATTCGGAATGACCGGACATTCTCCGTCATACACCATGTTAATGGTAATACATAATTATGCGTTATTGTTTATTTTTTTGGTTATTTGCTCTTGAATTAATTCACATCGAGAATATTAACAAGTGTATGGTCAACAATTTCAATATTTTAAGCGTATTGACTATTGATCTTGTTTTTCGTATTTTTTCATGAAAGTTTCACAAACCGTTTCACTAATCATTTTGTTTTGTTAGTTTTTTCATTTAAATAAGTCGAATGTTATCTTTGCTTTTTTTCATAAAGATTGGTGCCAATGCTGGTATTGTTGGTATGACAAAGGAGCATCTTGGGTTGGCGCTAGCGCTTTCAGTGCCTGTATTTGTTGTAATAACTAAAATCGATATGTGTCCGCCAAATATTCTTCAAGACAATTTAAAATTGTTGTGCAAAGTGTTGAAATCTCAGGGATGCCGAAAAGTACCAGTTATGGTCCGAACACCCGACGATGTTGTATTGTCGGCCACAAATTTTGTGTCGCAACGACTTTGTCCAATATTTCAAGTATCCAATGTGACTGGTGATAATTTGGATTTATTAAAAATGTTTCTCAATTTATTGACCACACGAATGGGTGGTTTGGATAATTTTCCGGCTGAATTTCAAATTGATGACACATATTCGGTAGGACAAACATAAATAAATATAATCCATCATTAATCACGCCTAATGAAATTGTAAATTTTATTTTTCTTTAGGTACCAGGTGTTGGTACTGTTGTGAGCGGTACATGTTTTACGATTCTTTTTCGATTATTTGTCGATTATTTTAAATTAATTCTTTTCTTTTGTGATTCTCCCCTTAGGTACATGTTTGCAAGGTGTGATACGTCTCAACGATAATCTATTGCTTGGACCTGATTTATTAGGCCATTTCATACCGATTGCCATCAAGAGCATTCATCGAAAGCGAATGAATGTGAGCGAGGTGCGTGGTGGTCAGACGGCAAGTTTTGCATTGAAAAAGATCAAACGCTCTCAAATCCGCAAAGGAATGGTTCTCGTCTGTCCCGAATTAAATCCAAAAGCGGCATGGGAATTCGATGGCGAGATTGTTGTATTGCATCATCCAACCACCATATCAAGCAAAGTAAATAATTTTAAATAAATTCTTGGAAAAAATAAAATAAAAATTAAACAAAAACAACTTATTCATATTATAGTATCAGGCAATGGTGCATTGCGGTAGCATACGACAAACAGCATCTATTCTATCCATGTCAAAAGACATGCTACGCACTGGTGATAAAGCACGCGTACGCTTTCGATTCATAAAGCATCCGGAATATCTCAGGCCAAATCAGCGTTTGGTGTTCAGGGAAGGGCGTACAAAAGCCGTTGGCAATGTTATTGAGCCAATTACAAATACCGTGCATCGGCCAAATGCAAATTTAAAACCACAAAAAATGCACTCGAGGGGGCATTCAATGCAAAATCAAAATCAAAACCAAAATCCAAATGCACAACGCGATGGAAACACAACAACAACAACAAATACGATGACAGCGACAGCAAACGCAGTCAATACAAGCAATGTTATGAAAGACGGTGATTTAGGTAAAAATGCATTGCCTATGGACGGGGTCATTGAAATTGGCGTAGACAAACGTGACTTACATCACCGTGGCCGAACGAAACGACAGAATTAATACCAGTTACAATTTTCATCAGCTAAAATAATAATAATAACAACAACAACAACAACAACCACACATACATTACATTTAAAGTACCATAGACCTTTCTTCTCGTTTATTTTCATATTTGAGAATTTGCTTCGATTCAAAAATATCTACTGTTAATGTGTATGTGCCAGTTTTGGAATTCGATACATAGATTAATTTCATTTAGTCCAGAAAAAAAGATTCATTTTTTCAGTTTTATTTATGGCTATGAAAAAAGAGATGGCACAAATGTGCTGGCAATACACTCGTTGACGCTAATTATTTACATACCACTTTTTTCTCTTCGTCTTTGTTTTATGAATAAAAATCCAAAGCCGTAGTACGAATGAAAAGCTGAAAAGATGATATATTTTTCGAATGATATGACACAAAAGAAAAGTTCATACAATTTTACCATAACAAATGAAGCAATGAATTCAAATTAATAAAATAGATATTTCATTATAAATACACAATCTTTATTTGTTTGTTCAGCATTTACATGCGCTGTATAATCGGATCGCAAGATATAAATGCATTCATATATTATGGTAATAAATGGTGAAGGTTGAAAAATTCCGATTAATCTGAGAGCATTGTTTCTTCACGAAGACTATTGAAAGTGAAAGGAGCCCACCAAATAGACAGTAACAATCTGGAACATACCTCTGCTTGGTAATGCCGTAATTAATAACAAGGATGACATTTTTTTTATATTTATTGTAAACATGTGATTCCAGTAGTGATTAAATGCTTTAAAAATATACAAATTGAAAAATGATAATCTCAATTTCAATTTCAATTTCATTTATTGACAATTTGCTGTCTTATACATTCTATTACATTTCCATTTGTTGTAGGTAAGTCAATAGTTATAATATAATATAATAAGAAGAACCTCATTGACGTTCTTTTTTAAAGAATTCCTTTTACGTATGATATTTATAATGGTGGTCATTTGCATCAATTATCGAATGAACCTATTTCTGTCAGACATTTTCGGATAGAGCTTCGAAACATAGATTCCGAATTTTTACGCAAATCGAAATTCAAATTAAGGTATGGCCCAATTATTGTGGTATTATTTGCAGTATTATTTCCTATCAGTGATCACTTCAATTAGACAAAAAAAAATTGTGATTGATAAAACCTTGTTTGTATTCAGTTGCCCATTGTTTTCATATTTTGGAAGCAAAATTTTATTATTATTTCAATTAAAAAATTACTTCTAAACATTAATGTAAACATGTGAAAGATGATTCTTTTATAAAATACTGTTTCAGTTCCTCCGCTCCTCAAAATATTTATAGATTGAAAATGAGCAGGGAAAAAAGAGAAATAAATTAAAACTAGAAAAATTCAGAAATTGAAAAACATCTTCTTCTACTTATTTAATGTGTTTAGAACATTTCATAGACGAATTTCAAAATCACATATCCATGTGTGGACTGGGGTGGAGCGTTTTTCAAACTTTGATGTCTACACTTGGATTTATATGTGTCTTGGCGCTCCGAATCAGGATGTACCAACATTTTTTCAAAAAGTTGCCATTTAGGCCTCCCGACTTGCACTTGAATTATACCAATTTTCATAAAAATTCATAAAAATTACTGTTTTCTCGAAATGAAAAAAAAAATTACTCATTTTACAACTTTTAATGTGTCATTTAAGTTTATTCGCATGATTTTATGTGGTTTTACCATTTAATGTAAGATGTAGCATATATCACATCAAAATACGTGTCAATAGTTGACGGCAGAAATAAATGAAATGGAAACTGATGGCATAATAACTGTTCTTATTATACTAATTTAGTTTTTAAGTAATTTGTGGAATTGCTACAGTCAGGAAGAGCCGTGAAATTCGTTTGTTTTTTTTTTTCAAAAAATTTAATCAATAAAAATTTCATTTATTTCTTCCGTCAACTATTGACACGTATTTTGATGTTATATGCTATATCTTACATTAAATGGTAAAACCACATAAAATCACGCGAATAAACTTAAATAACACATTAGAAGTTGTAAAATAAGTAATTTTTTTCATTTCGAGAAAACAATAATTTTTACGAATTTTTAGCAAAATTGGTATGATTCAAATGCAAGTCGGCAGGCCTAAATGGTCACATTTTGAAAAAAATGTTGGTACATCCTGATTCGGGGCGCCAAGACACATATAAATCCAAGTGTACACAATGTGTACTACACATTTATACTCCAAAAAAGATCAAAAACGCTCCACCCTAGTTTGGACGCTACTCTTGGAAAAAGTTTTTCCGTGAATGAAACTAGAATGTTGACTTAAAACTAACATTTTGAATCTATAAAAAACATTGTTCATGCGCCAAAGTAGAAAGTAACAACATTTCCTCATATATCATTTATAAAGTTTAATCAGTCTTTCAGCTTCCCGCCATCCAGTTTCAACTGCCCCATGTGCGTTCGAGAAGAGATTTGGACTGGTGGCTTCACCGGCGAATTGAATAACTGGCCTTCCATTCGAGTCACTTATTGGTTCCGCTAATTTTTGAACATTTGCTCTGAGTGCTTCTGCTTTCAGCGTGTAATTCGAATAAGATCCACGGAAATGAGAATTTGAGTACCATTTTGAGCTGGATAAAAACAAAACTGTTTAATTCAAATAAGAAAAAAATTGACAGCCAAAATTGTTTTTCGAAATATGTTTTTCCAGATTTTTTTTCTAGTGAATTCAAAGACACTTTGAAAAGAAAAAGATAAATCATTCCTCACCGAACCATTGTTTTGGCATCTGGTATGTTCCAATGTTTCAAAATCATTCGAAGAACTTTTTCTGCGCCGGCTTTCACATCGGCGTCGCTCTTTTCTTCCATTTTATGTGCCAATTCTCCAGAGATCCAACCGCAAAGAATGTTGGTTGATGATTATTAAATCGATTGAATGCCATTAAACCTTCTAGCCAGTCACCGTTCACCGGATCGTCTCGTACTTCTTTCAATTGTTGTAATTGCCATAAAATTGAAAATCCACCCCAACATTCGTCGTTCCAAAATGGTTTATCAAATTCCAAATAGATTTTATCGACGGTTCCAATCATCATGCCATCGATGCTATTGTATTTCCATCGAGGAAGCAACGGCTCGAACAAACTCAAACAACGCTCTTTAAGAACACCCAATGAGACCGTGCAAATCACGTGATCGGCTAAATATGAACTACCGTCTTTACATGTAATTTTTGTGGATGCACTGGGTTGATTGTATACGATTTTCAGCACTTCTTTATCGAAGTGGATCAGTGGAATAATATCGATTACTGGCTCCGAATTTTCAGGAATTTTATTCTAAAAATGAATCATTTTTAATTTCAAATGGAAGTTATAACCTCCACACCTCTGGTCCTAATCAGTTTAGGTTCTTCAAAATTTAAGTTGCGGCCTCCTTCTGAAACTTCTTTGCCTTTGGCCATTTCGAACACAACATTACTTCTCTCCGTGGCACCTGAATACATCTCAAAAGAATATATTTAAAAAAAACAATACTTTTAACATAAAATCAAAAGAAAATCCAAACATTGGGCCCCCATATCGACGACATTCTCGCCGAATGGAACAGTGTGAATTCGGCCACCAATACGATTTTCCGCCTCTAAAATTGTCACACGGTCAAATCCATTCGAAATAAGCTTCGTAACTGCTGCTACACCTGACAATGATAATTTTTGTCAATCATTAATTATTATTAACAATGATAATTGACTGACCTGATGCACTTGCACCAATCACTATAATTTTCTTATTCATTTTCCAATGAATATTAATTTTTAGAACAATAAAAAAGATATTCACATCAAAACACCGATTCGGGGTTGAATCATTTAGAACAGAAACAGCTGAGCATTGACAACTCGCATATTAGTTGTCATTAAATGTCAGTTGCATGGTGCAGCGTTCATATTTGAGCAATTCAAAAGTGAATATTGGTTCACAGCCGTCTGTTATAATTTCCTGTAATAAAATTTGCACCACTTTTATAAAAAATAGCTGACTGGCTGCAATCTGACTTGAAGCTGTGTTATTTTGGCGAAAAGATCATAAGTCTCAAGTGCTATGTGCAAAGTTGGATGAATTGTCTTTTCAACTATGAGTTGATGTTTTCTAGTTTAAACAGGTTTTGGGAAAAGGTAGTGATTTTGTTTCGGAAGTTCCGAAAGAAAAAGTTTCTTTTTTGTTCTTTATTCATTGCGAATGAAAATTTCTTTATTCTATTTATTCCACTTTAATTCAAAAATGCAATTTATATTTCTTGACATTATCATTTGTCTCTTCGAATGTGTAGCCAGCGCTACCAATACAACATGTATCTGAGACATTATTATGGACAAAGTCATATTTTGTTCCATCTATGCCATAAGTCGCATCAAGGATAGTATAGGTGTAACTATACGGATGTTTTTTGGATCCCCATGCTGGTCTATTTTTTTTTAATCGAACACATCGTTTTGGTTCTGTCGCCATTGTGTTGCAACACATACAGCAACTGCTATCGGTAACTCTCGAATAACCACTAGCCGTATCAACCTCGGATTTAAACAATTGGTAAGTAAATCGAGCGCCATCAACCTGTTTCTTTTTATCATTCAACACCTTTATACCATATTTCCTCATTCGTCCACATTGTAACGAGTCCACACCAAAGCAGCTCACGCACACGAAAACTAAGAGAATTCAAAATCATTTAATGATATTGAGTTAAAGTCATCAGCACAGTTGTCACAATTCTTTTCAAAGTTATTCGCAGCTTCTGAACTTTACGAAATGGACATTTTAAAAGTAAAGACCCTTTTTCTTATCTTTATTTTTATGATTAGACTAGATAAAATGAGAAGAGTGAAAAACTAAAATAGGTATTCAATTTTCTCAAATTGTAGAATTGTAAAATCAAATCTCTTCCTTATCTAATAATTAAAATTCTACTTACACAAGGCAAAAAAGAATAAGAATTGCCGAAAACTCAATCCCATCTTGGTCACGTCAATTATTCGTTGTTCAAATAAAAGTTATTCTTCACACTATAGAATATTCTAACTCAAAACGATACAAATTGTACGCTTTTATACGCAATTTTCATCTGATTATAATTCAAGGTTTCATATTTCGAATTTTTGGCGGCGTTGACGTTAATGGTTTGGTAAAAAATATTTTTTTATTGATACTAATAATTTGTACATCTGCTTGAACTCATTGAAACACATTAAAAATTTAAAAATGTGCGAACTTAATGAAATTGGAACTACAAAACATCCGAATCAGAAATATCCCAACAAACATTTGTTGTGGCAAATTCATCCATTATCGGGCATATGTTGACGGTCAATATTGGGGTTGGATTTGTGTGTAGTTTCAGTCAATTTTACCGTCAAAATGGAAAGGAAAAAAAGAAAAAAAAAACAATTCAGTTAGATTGAATGCAAAAATAAACTATCAATTCAATAAAGTACTCACCTACGGGTTCTTTTATATTCCGCACAGCCCTAAATAGGGACCCGTACTGCGGTCAAGGGTACAATAGAAATCCTTGGATTTAAACTATTCACGCCTAGTAACTAACAAAATTGTTAAAATATTCTTCTTATGATTATTGTTGATTTTATGCTGTCTATCAGTTGACATTGTTCGCATGGTGTGGATTGTCAGGTCTCTTCAACGAATCGGGCAATGGTATGCCAAAAAGACGACACATTCCTATAAAATCAGAAATAAACACAAAACATTAATCAATTAATATGAACACTGAACACCTAACGCTCTGCTCTCTATTCTCAATTTAATATTAATACAATATACAATTATGCACATACCTTTGAATAAAATATTCTTTGCGGCAACAATGTCACGGTGCCAAATGACTACGTGCTCAATCATGTCTTCTGGTGCAGCATCACCCAATTCATGGTATTCTCGAGTTAATGACCAAGTTTTGAAGATAACTTTTATCTTTGGCACTAAACGCTCGATGTTCTCACGATCTGGATTGATTGCTCTCTCTACAATTCGCTCTTTTTTAAGCTCTTGTCTGCTCAAATTCGTCACAATTATCGGTGGTAGTCCAACAATCGGTTTTGGTATGCAATTTCGACAAATTTTGAATCGATGATTTTTGGTTTCTCTTGGAAATCGCTCGTGACAATTGGCACACGTTATTGATGTACCCCATTCATCTTGAAAACTGACCTTTGTGTGCTCTTGTTTCTTGAAGCTGGTCGCCAATTTACGCGTTCCTGGGCATCTTTTCCGCTTCTTTATGCCCCATGGCCGATTTGGTGCCATTTCTCCAGCACCAATCCAAATCCAAGACGGTTTGTTGTTCGTTACCCGCATGGCAACTTTATCACTTGTTTTGGTAGCCTTGATGTGGTGATCGAGATCCAATCGTGCATATTTTCGAGTCGCATATGCTTGCATTCCCATTCGTAGCATTTTGATGCGATGCAGAATGTACGCTTTCCATGTGGATCCACGCGGCGATGGTATCACTGGGTACGACTTGAAATCCATTTGTTCTTCTTCAACAAACCACCAGGTCAACCGATCAGCCTTCCGATCTCTCTTCTTCTGCTCGGTTTGCCAATGAAATCGTGGATTGGATATTTTAATGTTTTCCTGTTAAATAATAACGTCAAATTTCAATCACGTTCCAAAAAAAAAAACATTGTAATAACAAACTTAACTTACCTCAATGTTTGACTTGATATGGCGGCGCACAACGGCAACCCACGTTTTCTCGTTCGGATCGATGGCACTAGCATATGTCATGTTGTTAAATGTGGCATGCTCCGAATTTTCCACCCAAGCCTTCGCTGGCTTCTCGTACAATATTGACACGCAAACACTATTGGTGATGATTTGCGAGTGAAACCGCTTCTGCTTGCCGATTTGTTTGATTTTATCCATGTCGAAAACCAAATTCCACAATTCATCTCGATGGCCGTACAAGTAATAGTCCAGTGTGTATTTGTTCATTCGATTGGTCAGCGGATTGCGAGAACTTGGCACCACTCCTAGTACAGTGTTCGCCAAATAATACATATCTGTCATATCCAATCGAACGTTTTTCAGTTGGAATCGGCATAACGGGACAAGTGCGAAATTGTTCACTTTTGGCGGTCGATTGTTCGTTATCAATCCATCGCGACGGAATGCATGCCATTGTTGTGAATATTGATGAAACACTTCGATTTGGCGTTGCATTTGACCGAACATCCACAGTGATTGGAACCAATTGTCCTTAACGAACTCATTGACAGTGACCGGAACCAATTGTTCATTATGAACTTTTTGACACTGCCAACCGATTCTTTCCAGTTCATACAATAAAATTTTCATCTTATTTGTTCTCTCTACATCACCATGTGTCAGATCTTTGTTACTAGTGGCGTAAACTTTTGCGTTTCGTATATCGATGCCGTCAAATTTTGATCCATTGTATTGATGGCCATTGATATTCATGTTATAATACCAGCGTTTCATTTGAAAAAACGATTCAACATGTTCTGAACAATGAGTGTTGAGATTGGTCTGATTATTTCGAATGTGATCTTGGTAGAAATAATTAAAACCATTTCCCAGGCATTCTTTATCGGGCCATTCAAAATTCTCTACACCGAAGTGTGCCTCGACAATGTTACGAAAAGCTGGCGGCATTAGTTCCTCTCTGTCGACTTTATCGGCTAAAACACCGTTAAAGCACTCAATGAAAAATGTTTTACCGTTTTGTACAAAAAATTGTTGGTTCCCATCATCGATGGCTTCTTGAATTTTGTACAACGCCAACAATGATGCTAGTGACGAAATCAGTGTCATTTTGTAGCTTCGATGATCCAAAAACTGAATCACTCTGTCGCGATATTCTTCCCGTATGATTGACTTGACGCCTTGTTTTATGACTACAAGGTTCTTAATGTCGTCTTTCCTTTCGGGTGGACTGTATAAATGAAACGAAAACAAAGAAAAACATACACACTTATTTAAAAAAAACTGGTCACAAAACAATATTGCGAAATTGCATCGAAAATCCAATGAAAAAAAAACACAGAATAAATATTAAGAAAAACAATGCTTACATATTAAATTGATCCTCTCTTGATCTTGTTCTACTCATGGTTTAATCAATCAATCACAATTTCTGGTGCTTTTCCAAATACTATGGGATAGTTATCACTATTTTCGGTTGCAATCAATTCGCATCAATTTCACAATTCAAATTGTAATTTTTAATGTGTTTTTGTTGGTTCTGCTTGTAAACTACCTGACGAAATTCAATTATTATTATCAATTTAAAGTTATTTTTCTGACTTGATGATGAGATTTAATGGTATTTCAAATAGCTTCACAGCGCGAACGGTAACTTTGAACTAAAATGAATGCAAAAATGCACCGCTATTTATAGCAAATTATTGCTGTATTGCAAAAAGTCAAGCCTCGAAAACTAAAATGACTGCAATTAAACGATTCTATTGATACATCAATATATGCAAACAAATTTACAATATTTTCATTCAACAACTCAATCACTCCACTTTGATTTGCCACAAAACTCTGCCGAAAATGCATTTTTAAACAGGAACATAACAAATCACAAACGAGAGAATTGTCGAAATGGTTTTTTTTTTCAAATGTGTTTCGATGATTTGGAATATTAACAGTAATACTTTATAAATGTTCTGTCGTTTGAATTGAAAACAGAAACAGACACAAAATATTTCCGCAAATATATCCATCACATTTCGTGAACACACGATATCGTTGTATCAAAACACTGACAAAGCACATCACAAAAACAAGCGGTGATCGGGAATACTGTTGTACGGTCAAAATTCAACAGTTTGTTGCATTCGCGCTAGTATTTCGTTTACAGAAAAACAAAAACACAAACACATATTATATTGTCTCTCTCACATGTTTCGTTTCTTTGTGCTGTGACATAAAAAAGCCACTGATACAATATTAGCACTAAAATCCATTTGTCTTATTTTATCATGTTGAAAACTGAAATCGGTTGTCATTTTGAATTTAATTTGTTTGAAAAAAACAACAACAACGCACATTTTCTGACCGCTAATAAGAACAAAGAAACTCGTGCGTATGAATATCATGGATATACTCTACATTCCGTTTGACACTAAAATGGCCACATAATTATCCTTGTGAATGTGTGACTCTCTCTGTTGTGCATTTAAATGTGTACAAACTTTCAATTGTTTATATGCGCGACCGGTTCAATATTGCATGTTTCGACCCGAAACACCGAATGAATTTGTTTATATCACTTTCCCTCACACACACACAAACTCTGTATTCGTAGCGATATTTGACTTTTTGAATTTGTCCAACTGAATTCTAGGCGACGGAGAATGCAATCGTATGAGATTGTTGTTGTTGTATACCAAAAATCATCTCTTTCTAAACTGGCGGCACTTCTCAGTATAGTTTTGGCCGCAATAAAAAAATCAATCCCGTTAAATATTGAATAGAGTGATTTGTTTGTTTGTGATACATGTTAAATCGAAGCACAAAAAATTCCTTTGCTACATTAATTCTGTTGAAAACTGAAAAATGTGAATACAAACTTTGTGTGTACTCCAGTTGAAAAGAAAACAAATCTGAATGGCAACTCATTATATTTCGTTGTGATTTTGTGTATTGAAACATTTTTGTCAATACACTGTAATTTTGTCGATGTGTGATGTTCAATATTCAACTGATCCTTGCCTTCTTAATGATGCTGGACATATGTATGAATATAAGTGATACAAAATGCAATCAAACAGCGAAAACAGTCGATAGAATTGTTGATATAAATTTTATGTAAACAAAATCGAACATTTGAATCTCATGTTACACATACTTTCATTCTTTAAACGAGTAAGAGTCAGCAAAACACGCATTGTATCAATACCGTTGTATGCTTTGAGATTCAAACAAAAACG